TAATAACCAAAAGGCTAATCGAGACAGATACATAGACGAGGCAAACTGGGAACCGTTGAACTAATTGTACTGGAATGTGCCTCTTTTATTCGCCCTGACGTGATTGGCTCAGTGAGCTCTATATATACCCATTGTGAGAACTCGAGTCAAAAAAATGAAGCCAAAATTAAACACATCAGTTTCAATCCCTTTATATTGTTTTTATATGCGTGGTTAACACCTAAAATTGTCGCCTCCACAAAGATGGAAATCTTTCGACTAACCTGTTCAGCATCAGTAAAAAAGTTATTAATATAAAGCAAGTTTTTCCACCACTCTTTGCTACACATCGTATCGAAAAACTGCGAATACCAGAACGGAGACTCCGTTAAGAATCCCTTGAGATGAATTGAAAACAGGATCACAAACATGTAGGATGGAGTGAGCCTGGATTAAAAATGAAAAATCTTAACACCAGGGCAAACTAGGAAACAAACAAAGCTGTCAGAATTTTGATGTTTCCCTGTTTGTCCACCCAAGAAAACAATCTTGTTTTCCCCCGGAAAGTATTTTATTTTGCAAATGCATTCTTTTCGCAGTGTTACCTCCAAAAGCGATGGACATAAAAGAGAACCCAGTTGAATGTGCCATCGTTTTTCTGAAGTTTCCTGAAGCATGTGTATGCCACGAGAAGGCCACTAAACAAAACAAACGTGTAGTTATCCACAACAACGGCAACAACGACAACAACAACGACAACAACGACAACAACAACAACAACAACAACAACAACAACAACAACAACAACAACAACAACAACAACAACAACAACAACAACAACAACAACAACAACAACAACAACAACAACAACAACAACAACAACAACAACAACAACAACAACAACAACAGCAGCAACAGCAACAACAACAACAACAACAACAACAACAACAACAACAACAACAACAACAACAACAACAACAACAACAACAACAACAACAACAACAACAACAGCAACAACAACAACAACAACAACAACAGCAGTAGCAACAACAACAACAACAACAACAATAACAACAGATTGTAACAACAGTCACAAGAACAACGACAAAAGCAGCGACAAACAAACAACCAGAAAAATAATTTGCTTTATATATCCTTTTGGGACACCTACCTTAAGAAAAAGAACGAGTCGACGGAATAAGTTCCACTCAGTATGGCCATCATTGTAAGTAACCGACCGTCTTTTGCCATTCCCGCTTTGTTCTCTACAAAAACGACAAATATAAATATTTCTAAGTTAAGCGGAGACGCCCGTTTTCCAGTATTATATCTCATTTAAATAATTCTGGTTGTACTAATTTATCGTTGCAACTTTCTTCATAAAGTACAAACAGCAGAGTTGAGAATGGGTATAAAAATTATTAAGGTACAGGTACCTCTCCATTGATGAGAAAGTTCGACAAACCAAACTCGACATTAACGTACTCGATAACCGGCGCTCTAGGATGGGTCTTGATATATTTTGAAGTGGAAATGGGCCTTGGCCTATACTTACCCGTAAGCGAGGAAGCGAAAGAAGCAAATGTGTGTCCGAGAATGACCCATGTGATGCTGATTACTCGAATTCCGTTTATTGATTTGATAGCTGATGGAGGAACATCTGTCTTTAAGATTTTTGCCGTGTTTTGAAGGACTGAGAAACAGCGGAAGAATTGACCAACAAAACTTGCTGGGAAGAAATATTCATAGAATAATGAGAGAATAAACGGAAAAAAATTGAAAATCCATAAAAGGTCATAGAATGGAAATTGTATGGACCTTTATCGTAAACAAAATGGATTTGGTTATCCATAATAATTGTATATTTCTATACTATGGATATAGTATGGATATATTATGGATTTAGTGGTGCAATTGCAAAATTCCGTAGTATGGATTTCACTTTCTTTTTCCAGTGGTTGCAACTTCGTGTACTAACTGATAAGTAGGATTAGGAGTTGTCTGATTATAATTGTCTCTCCGTCCCACCCAAGAAGAGTGCGTCCAGCTTTATAGCCTACGGTGTAAACCCCAACAGAAATTCTGCAGGGGTCTACACCATAGCCATAGGCTTGTCTAGTTTGGCTCTATCAAACACTGTACACGGTAAAAAACGCTCAGGTTGATGCAATACTGATGAAAACAGGACTGAACAATGTTTTGCTGCCTACGTTGTTCATAGCTGTCAACAATATTGAACAATATTGTTACACCCGATTCAGGCTCAACAACATTGTTCAATATTGTTGACAAGTGTGAACAACGTGGGCAGCAAAACATTGTTCAGTCCTGTCACAGAGTAGAGACATACAGAGACGTAACTGAACATCGTAAACACTGCGGAAGACTACGTTATCATGTACCCACTTTTTTTCAGGCGACCGGCGTGCTCAGCAAGTTTAAAGTGAATCGTCATCAGGTCGTCATCCAATCAGATGCATGCATCTAGTAACTTGTCGAGCACGCGCACAAAAAAGTGGGTACACTAGCTACATCTCTGTATGTCTCTACTCTGTGGTCCTGTTGAGCAACGGACTCGGCGTTTTTTGCCGTGTATAGGAGGATTTCAATCACGTGATATTTGAGCATGATTTGACCACAGAATAGATACACAACCAGAAGTGTCACTCAGACGATATTTTGTCCGAAATTTTACGTGTGCTGACGTGAAAATACGCCATCATATGTCGTCATCCTGGAGTGCACACGGAAGTTTTTCATAGGAAAACATAGGTACAAAGTGCCGTGTGCACTCCAGGATGGCGCCATTGCACGTAAAAAAATTTCGGACGTTTTCGTTCAGTCAAAACACATAGGATTGTCCCTTCTGGTCCGGTATCTATTCTGTGATTTGACTCAAGTGGGAGTCAATCACTGAACTAAAGTCAACTAAAACAACAAAAAAACAAAATGGCTTCTTATGTAAATGCATAAACGCATCTTATGTAAATGTTCTCCTATTATATCATTCATTTATTTAAATTTTTTGAAGAATACGAATGTTCTCATTAAGATGTTTCACAAGCCATTTAGTTTCGTGTCCATGTTGTATTGGATATATCCAGGGCGCTATAAAACACGCCCTGTTTTACTACGCCCTGGTATAGCCAAGTCAACACAGTCGCTCATGTTGTAAATAGTCCCTTGACACAAACCCTTGACCCTCCACATGACGTCATGTGGTAGTTGACATCAAACTGATTTCGAAATAACTCAGTTGGAAATAACTCATTTTGATTATCCATAATAATTATATATTTCCATATCATGGATATATTATCGAAATAGTATGGATATACTATGGATTTAATAGTGGTGCAATTGCAAATTTCATAGTATGAATTTCACATTTTTTCCCCAGTGACTGTTCTTGTTTCTTACATGGCAACTGTAATCGTTCATTTGAAAGGCCTCGCAGTTGATTTGAAAGGAGGTGTTTTTAATCTTTTTCAAATAGTTCAGACAGAAACCATGGAAGCTTATTGTGGATCGGTACCGACAATGAATTCCTATACATTTGCAGTTAGCAAAATTCTGTATACGATGATCTGTTTTGACGAAAAGTCGTATTTATTTAGAAGGTCTTTTGCGCTTGCGAAGTTGCTTTTGCGCGCGATTTAATCAAATTTCATAATTTGGCAGGCTGGCAGCTGAAAGCAAATCAAACACGGTACCTTTAAACATAGTGAAGATATAATGACCTTTCACCGAAATACTTGAATTGTTTAATAAAACCACATCATCTGCTGTCAGACTGCCTGTATGGTCAACACCATTCACCTCGACTGAAGTTGATTCATTAGAGACATTAGTTGATTTGGGACTCATTGTAATCATAGTGTTCTGATCTGTAGCGATGTCACTTATATCTCTAGGTATCGGTGAAATGTTGAATGTCTCGTCAACCAGGTCTATGGCAGTGCCAATTAGACATAGAAATATCAGAAAACCACAGAGGGCACTAAAGGAAAAATAATGAAATAGTTTATAAATGTAAGAACTAAGAGTTAGACAGATAGTCTTGTTATTTTACCCTGTTTAAAAGGAAAGTGTCAAGCTTCATCCCAATTTATACACTCGCAGGGTGTTAGCTAGAGTCAAAAATTCTGTGTTAAATGCGGTTTTCCCAATTTGCAGGACGCAATTTGCCAATTTAGGTCAGCCAAAAAATAGTTATATTATAAAAATTTAATTATTTTTTCCCAAATTCAGTTAAACGTAAATTTTTCTTTACTTCTGGCTAACACTCTGACTAGAGGTTTTATAACCTCAATATGGACTTATAACTGTTAATAAAATAGATTGAAATTTCAGGAAAATATATTAATTCAACTAATTTCATTAGCATTCATATCTTACATGGTCACTTTGACACCAGTGGTATAGGTTGGTTTGACAGCAGGACACATTACATTACTGTACTTGAGACTTAGTTTATGTTGGATTAGTTCTTCCACTAAAATAGAAAATTGGAAGTATAATTATATATATAATTTCTAGCTGCTTTTACATGGCTCAGAAGTTTTTTTCTGAGATACAGGCTTGAATGCTTCATTATGCATCTTCAAGCCATCAAAAGTTATTGTATCACTGCAGGCCCACAAAAAAATTTTAAATTTCCATTAATGGTTTTTGAATGATTTTTGAAGATTTACCATGTACAGTATACGTATACTATCAATGTAAAAACTGAACTCTTATACCAGTACCATTATTGGTTACCATGATGTTTAACCCATTAAGCTGCAGAGCTTCCCCATTGACGAGTAAAATCGTCTGGCGTTAGACAAGTAAAAAATAAGTAGGCCGCACTGGGGCGAATTGCAGCTCATTGGGTTAACTAGAGACATTGTCAGATTTTTTGGTTAACCCATTAAGCTGCAGAGCTTCCACATTGGCGAGTAAAATCGTCTGGTGTTAGACAAGTAAAAAAATTAGTAGGGCATACTGGGGTGCATTGCAGCTCAATGGGTTAATATTTACCATTAGTATAATTACATAGGTGATTATTGAAAATTCTCCACGCTGATTGGTTGCCGTTGAGGTGATTATTACACGATAATCACCTAAGCGATTTTCAAAATGGCGGCCGAAGCCTTTTTGTCAATTAAATGACCAAGAAATGTGTATTTTCTTATTTTTTTCCCAAATAATCACCTATGAAATTATACTAAAACAATTATTCACCTCAGGCTCGGTGATTATCGTGAATAAAAACCTCGACTTCGTCTCGGTTTTTATTCACCGATAATCACCTCGCCTTCGGCGAATAATTGTTAATTAATTGTATTTTCCTGGTACTGTAAATATTAAATTTCATGGTTTTTACCAGTTTACCATACGGTAAATCTGGTGGATATCACAATACTACAAATTTCAAGCCATGACCTTAATCAGAACACAGGATGTGTTATTATGCATGTGCACTATGGGATATTGCAAGTTTTTAATTTTTACATCTGATTCAAAAGATGTAGTACACTACAATTTTATCAAATATCTTCGGTTCTAAAAATGATGTAATTTTACTACTGTAGTCTATTGGTGTAGTTGCCAATTGTATACTAGCACATCTGCACAGATACATTGTAGCTCATACCCAGCATACCTTCTGGTAAAATTTCTTCCAAATACAAGGCTATATCCTGTGCTGTACAGCTGCTCGGAAAACATAAGCCCCACAGTGCACCAAAATGTTGTTGCTAAAATATGCATAACAAGTCATAAAATATGATTTGCAAAATATGGTACAAATTCATTTGTGATAAAGTTTTCACCTTTCTAAATTTCACTTTCAGGGACATGGCAAAGACTTTGTCATTTGGAGGTTGGGTAGCAATCAAATTACCTTATTTTTACCTGTACGTTACCTACAGTAAAAGCAGTGTTTGAGATTTGATGTGGTTTTTCAATAAGTACATTCAAGTGTTTCTTTTGAAAAAATTAGCAGAATGGATACATACTGAATCTACTAAAGGGGGGGGGGGTCAGGAAGAAATTGCCCACCTAGGTCTATCCAGTAAGAATTTAAGCTCCACTCTAATTTCCAAATACAAATTGACACTACACTGTACATGCGGAACAAATGCAAAAGAACATACAGGGCTTACACTTGCTGGAACAGTCATTGCTAGATTTGTTGTACAATAATGTGCATTAGAAATATCTCTGCATTCAGCGTACGACCCCAGCCAAATAGTGTTCATCCGTAGTAAGCCACTTTGTGGTTTACCAACTGCATCAACATCTAAAAGGAAGCAAATTTTAAAATAAAGAAAAAAAAGGAGGAAGGTCACCAACCCCTGCAGCCTCATTCCAAGAAATATTCTAAGTTTTTGACTCATAAAATCAGTATGCACCCAACTTTGTTGTTTTGCTGTTTAACACCATATGATTTTATTTACATAATATGCAGCTTTTGAGAACCATCATTAGACAGAGTAAAATAACAAATTAGGGTACATTAGGCCACATTGCAGCTTAATAAGTTAATTAAATATAAAAAATATATATAGTACTAAAAATAATCTATTTAATATATACATTGCATCAGAAGTTTAGTGTCGTTGTGTAAAAGTTTCTTAATGTCTCTACGACATTCTGGCGTAACTTTTCTTCCCGTTTCTTCTGTAATTCCCCGCCAGCCATTTCTCAGTGCTGTCTTGTACGCGTGCAAAAAGTTATAACCAACGTCCTTGTTCGCAATTTCATGGTCATGTTGCTTTGTGTCCACATAGCCGGCGCTATCCCGCGCATCAGATTTCGTAAATAAAGGAGAAAAAAGCACAATTAAAGCAATATTCACGAGCAGAAACAATCTTTGTTTCATGATGATGCGCAATCGGTTGAATAATTATAGTTTTTATGTTTGAAAGCAATAAAAATTTTGCTTTGAAAAATGACAAGCGGGCCAAGCGGCGTCCACTTATCAATTTATTTTTAGCATTCAACAATACGTAATTTCAACATTATGCAATTTTATGCAACCTCGTTCCCAGAGCAAAGAGCCTGGGAACGAGGTTGAATTTTATGCTGCATTGTTATTAAATAGAACACCTGATTAAATTCTGGTCATTTAACTGGCTGATTGTGATCACGTGGTGTGAAATAAAAATTATCATTTTATGTTTGTGATGTTACTCTGAGTGCATATCCACACCGGGCGAGCTTGAAAAATATGCCCGGCCACGGTGGGATTCGAACCGACCAAAGGTCGTAGGTTCGAATCCCACCGTGGCCGGGCATATTTTTCAAGCTCGCCCGGTGTGGATATGCACTCAGAGTAACATCACAAACATATTATTCACCTGAGTACACAACACCAGCACAGAAAAAATTATCATTTTGCTGAGCGGAGCACAGCAGGTACAGTGTTAAGAGTAAGTGCAAACATCTAACTTCTGCGGGAAAACCGTAAGGTAGTTTTTACCAGGGTTTTTTTCCAAAATAGCTGGCGGCCATGTTCTTAGTAAGTGCCCTAAAAAGAGGCATTGACCCCCCTGAAACATTAAATTTCAATATGTTTTCAGGGGGTGATAGCCTCTCTTTAGGGCACTTGCATGCAGGCGTCTGAAAAATCCCTTACCGCAAAATTAACATGAAGTGACACCTTTGTATGTACCATAGATATGTACCTACTTTGATTAGATCTTTCAGAGTTCCAGTACACCTTTACCAAACACCGCATGTTATGTTACTGTTAGCTAAGCTTTCCTCCTGTAGTAACAATGCACCATCAAAGGGTGGTGGCTACTGGGCGTTTAAAATGCACAGACTATAGTTTCGTTTAGTTCATTTAATATGCTATTAGTGTTACTCTTTATAGACTTTTTGCAAAGAAATTCTTGCACAGAAAAATTATTTAACATAACACTATAATTCATTCTTCAATCAGTTGCGTTTATTACGTCTAAAAGCATATACGATTATTATATTACAGCATAATTAGTTAACGAAATATGGCAATAGGCTCTTGCGTCTTGGCAAAATATTTAAAATAGGTCAAAGCAATATTTATATGTGTATGTGTGATTGAATGGCATGAAGAACACTGAGATTTTCGTTACCAACGAAAGACAATGGGTTAGGGTTATGGACTCTGGCACTTTTTTAATGCTAGGCCAACTGTAAGTGGTATGCAACAAGTTTTATTTTTTTACAGACAAATATTTGTTCAGTACTATATATCGAAAGATAAATGGAAAGATTATATTAGATTCTATAAAATGGTGGAGGATATTTCTTATATATAGAAATGCAGAATTCGTGAAGAAAAACATGGAATGTATCCTGAAGATCTGCTTAAGAATTAACAGCATATTTCTTTCTTTCTTGCAAGAATTTCAAAACGAGATTTTCCAAGTTTTCCGAAGGAAACTCGATGACCACAGCCAAAATAAAGCCAACGGCATAAGATAATACTGTCGCAGCGATGAAATAGTACGACTAAAGAGAGAAATAGGGAAAAATATTTAGAGAAAACGTATTTCGGAATTAATTTGCCTTTAGCTAAATGGAAACCAGACAGTCCAACATACTTACGGTAGTGGGAATATCATAGTGTATTGTTCCATTCACAGCCGTCAGCATGAATTGCAAGACAATGATATGAACGAGATACACGGAGTAAGTTAAACGACTGAGAGGAATCCAAAATCTTGCTGACAGAAACTGCTGAATGTAGCCTGGCGTCAAGATAGGTAAACATTATTTCAGTGACGGTGTATCAAATCTTCAATTAACTAACTTCATTTATATTGGATAGCTCCATCAGTTCTAATCTGTTCTCTCTGGAGGTCAAGTAAGGATCATTCCTTGTTGATCTGATCCAGTGTTACTGCAGGAGGAAACCTAAACTAAATTTATGTATACTGGACAGCTCTATCAGTTTTAAACTGTTTTCCCTAGAAGTTCAGTAAGGGTCATTCCTAATTGGTCCAGTGTTTCTTGAAAATACCTAAAGTAATCTAACTTGGGACTAGCCTGGGGACGAGGTTGTCCTTATTCTAGTGTTACATACTGAGCTATGGTGTTACACAGTAAAACACTAACTTACTTCCGTAACCATAGTGACAAGCATAGGTAACCCAAGCCAATACAAGACCCCATAGAAGACGTTGAAATGTGCCATAGAAAATGTTTTCAGTCATATTCCATTCTCGGTTGCCTGGAACGACAGACTCGTGCGGAGCGTAGACTACAGTCATGGCAATCGCAAACGCCACAGACCAACCAATCAAGGCAATTAACTGAGAAAGAAAATAAAATGAAAAGCTGTAAAGCTACATGAAATTATCTTTATTTACTCTTAGATCTCGAGTAAAAACTATCCCTACTACAGAAGGAAACCTTTACTGAACTATTTTATTTATACTGGATAACTCTATTAGTTTTACATTGCTAGGCAATCTCTTTCTGCTTCAGTGTTACCACAGCAGGAAACCTAAACAGTTTACCAACATCATTGTCTTCATATTCTGGGTAGCTCTATCAGTTCTAACACTAAGCTGTTCTTCTTAGAGGTCCAGTAAGGGCCATCTCTTAATGTCCCAGTATCATAAGCTGTTTTTATGAGCCTGATCTAGCAGTTCTTAGCTGTCCTCCCTAAAAAGGCAGTAATAATTACTTCAGAAGGGAATTTGTGACCTGATAGGGGTAAATTCCAAGCACTCCCCTCGAATGCGAAATTAATTATAATCAGACAACTGCAAATTGGAAGAGCCTAATCCCAGTTACAGATGTGAAAACTTTTAAACAATATAGGCCCCAGGCCTCCAGACCATGAACAAGAAATTGACTTACCCAACCACGTCTCTTAATCGGTCCGCGATACTTCATGTAAATAGCATAACCGAGGATAAATCCAATGAGGTAAGGTTGAATACGACAATAAGGTTTACTGTAGATATAGTTGCTGTTGTCCCTTGATTTTTTCGCGCTAAACACAAAAATTACATAAAATCATCCTTTGTAAACCTGGTGAACAGTCGCGGCTTTCCTAGCCATGTTATTGCATAATACTTAAAACTAGAGCATTCAATTTGAGATATCTTTTAAGGTAGTTCAGCAACAAGCTAGGACAGCTTATTGTAGAATACTACCTACACTGGACCACTACGTTGAGATCTCTTTTTCAGGTAGTTCAGACACAATCCACAGCCACAGCAACTTATTGTGAAATACTATCTACACTGGACCACTACGTTGAGATATTGTTTTCAGATAGCTCAGACACAAACCACGGCAACTTATAGTAGCCTCCCACTAGACTCCCACTTCCTAGTTCCTAATTCTAAACTATGCGCGTTCCAATATACTACCGAATTTGGTTTAACTTTAGCACGTACGTTTCGTCTGTGAAATGAAGCAGTTTGAGGTTAATAATAGGATCCACGTCATAGGCGCCAATAAGCGCGGCAATAACAATAGTACTAATCAACAACAATGTTCCTGTGCTGGATAGCAAGCCACGCCACCCGTACCTACAGTGAAAAAAAAACGTCGCGTATATTGAGTACGTTATATGGTCAGCGGTGTTGGTGGCACAGTGACTAGTGTATGCAAGGGTCGATAAAGTTGGGACCGCTGGGAAGAAACGCGGACCGCCGAGATGGGAGGGGGGGGGGGCAGGGGAAACACTTTACCCTGGGCTCCTAGTTCATAATGGGCGGCCAAAGCATCCAAGGCGTTTTGAGACTTTAGAAAACGTATAGTCAGTAATTCTATATAGACCTAGGTGCGTTAGTGCCGGATACAGCCTGAACTCCACCTTTGGATTTACTATATAAGTAAATTGTTAAACATGCCCGAAATTATCAACACAATAAATTCGCTTAATCTAACCCTAATCTAATCTTTATCTGCCACTAATCTAAACTTTTTTTGATAATTTAGATGCATCTTCTTAATCGGTTGTTTCGGCTGCTTTTTAAAGACCATGTAAAGTCCGTAATGTAAACAAACGCTTTGTTTACATTTTGGACTCAGTGCTACAGTTGTAAAATATGATTAGATATACATTATACTGAATTTTTAACACTCTTCCGGTTCGCTATGCTTGTAAATGAATACAGACTAAAGATTCAATTCAAGAAAGTTCGAAAGATACGAAATATTAATAACATTCCAACGGTCGAGTCCCGACCATTGGAATGTAAGCCTACGGAGAACGTATGCGCCGAACGGACTTTACATGGTCTTTAAGCATACAACGAATTGCTATATTTTATAACCCTGTTCCATCGTGTAGCAATTTCTAACTAGTTTTAAAAAATGCAGTGCATGTTCAAACCCAGTTCAACCGCCATGTTCTTTTCTTCAACAACATCTTCGAAGTTTACCAGCTGGCCTAACCCATGTGATTATACTAACTATCAGCAATCAAGACTTACTTAAATGCCAAAATTAACAGTATCGGTGAAATAACATAGAACTGCATATCATTCGCCAAGTACCATGTCCAACCGATACACTACAGTAAATATAAAAACATTGTTAGTGTTTCTGTTGCTGGGCACTCAGGTAAAGATATATGTAACTTTCTTACCTGTTCAGTAAATTCCTCTGGATAAAAATTGTTGATGTACAGTAAGTTAGTCCACCATTTGTCCGAGCAAAATGGATCCTTATATGTATACTGCCACAAAAGTGAGTCAGATATTAATCCTTTCAGATGAACTGTGAATAGTATCACGAACATGTACGATGGGGTAAGCCTGTGTTGAGACAAATTAAGTAAAAATTATAATGCCTGTTTTTATAAAAATAAGGTACGTGGCTGAAGTCCCTAGTCTGTTGTGTCTTCCCCTTGTGTTTACATACATACTAGAGTGACGGTGAAGATGGTGGTGACAATGATGGTGCTGGTCATGATAATTTTACCAGCTGCAACACCACCACGCAGCTATCACCACCACCATTCTCATCATTATCATCACCATGATCATCATCATCACCAACACCGTCATCAACACCATCACCACCACCATCATCACTACCACATCATGATGATGATGCTAAGATCATGGTGACGCTGCCAACTAAAGGGTTATATTTATTTACACAACCCGGTTAATCAGGTAGGATTACCCTACAAAGCAGGTCATGTTCTATTCGTTCTGGCAACATTCAAAGAAGAATGTCAAGCATACGTATTAGCATACTATCGGGAAAAAACTTTCTATGTCTCGTTTTTACACAACGTTGTTAATATTTAAACGAAGCTTACCTCCAAAACCTGTGCACGTAAAACAAGATCCAGTTAAATTTCCCATCACTTTTCGCCATTTTTCTAAAGCACGTGTAAGCAACCAGAAGACCACTGGAAAAATAATTTTAAAAATCAGAAAGTAAGAAGATTATACGACACCATCATTGACTAACATCATCACCACCATCAGTATCACCATCAATATCACCATCAGTATCACCATGATCAGCATTACCATGATCAGCATTACGATCATCATCACCACCACCATTATCAACACAGTCATCACTATCACCACCACTCAAATCACCTCCTACGATTACCAGCAACATCAACGTCAACGTCACCACAACCATCACCACCATTACCACCATCATCACCGCTACCACCATCATCATCTGATCATCAAGTGATGATAGTACTTTATATAATAACTACAGTGAAACACGCAATTTGATTGGTCAATAGCCGTGCAGGATCAGGCTTTCCTGCACGAGGAATTAAAATGCCAGCGCGGGATTTTCGCGGGACTCTCAAAATGTCATTGTTTCACTGTAGTTGCTTTATAAAACAATTACCAAATGGCTTCCCAAGCAGGACAGCGTGATCTATGCACTTGGGATGTTGCTCGACTTTTGGAAAGCGTAAAATATACTCGCCTGCGGCTCCAGTATTTTTACGCTTTCCGAAAATCTCGCGACATCCCTCGTGCATGGATCACGCAATCCTGCACGGAAAACCACTTGGTATCCTTTAATCATCAACACCATCACAACTACCCCCTCACTTACTACTACAACCAAGCAATATATATAGCATAACATACCTCAGAAAAAAGAAACTGTCGACAGCAAAATAAGCGTTAGTCACAGGCAATATCGAGAGCAATTTGGAGTCTTCAACAGTCTGAGCTTTATTTTCTAAATTAAAACATCCAAAACATGTAATCTCGAAATGCTTTCGGAATTTTTAAACAATAAGTAAATTATATGGAGCCAAGATCAACGACCTTTCATACATACCTACAATGGGACTGATGAGGACATAGAGGAAAGTATGTCCCAAAATAACCCACCAGATGCTGAATACCCGAATGCCATTGATGGATGTGATAGCCGTTGCAGGGACATTTGTACTGAAAATTTTTTTCGTGTTACGAAGCAGAGAAAAACATAAAAACACCTCGCAAAGCTTTGCTAAAATGAGAAACATAAACGTAATCATAACGGATTTAAAATCTTTTGTATCGTATTTAATGCCTTTGCTTATAAATGAGTTAATGAGTCTATTCTTTGATCTAAGTTGACGTCACTATCTACAGATGTTTGGCAAAAATAGACTCCCCTTAGACACTTACATTTCAAAAATCTTGGCGGGCCGAATCTGATGGTTTCTTCCGGCGGGTGGAGGGCAGTTGAGCTGGTGGTCTGACGTGTTAAGGTGTTGTTTGCTTGGGGCGGGATCGTAACTGACTGCAACTCTACAGTGTTATTCTGATCAGATGGTGAAGTATTTTCTTCTGAAGTATTATATGCTTCTATGATCGCATCAAGAATTGTCCCAATAAGACAAAACAGCAATAGTACAGCACACAAGGCGCTAAATAACGAAAAAAATATCATTGTTGTGACAAATCTGGAACAAGTTGTTATCACCTTGTTACACCTTGTTGCACCTTGTTGCAAGGACGACGATGGCAACAGACTTACTACAAGTTGTTCCAACAAGACCAATGCAAGCGGTTCGTAATAGTTTTCAGACCATATCAGACTTGTTGGAACAACTTGTTGCGAGTCTGTTGGCCTCACCAACCTTGTTACACCTTGTTGCAAGGACGACGATGGCAACAGACTTACTACAAGTTGTTCCAACAAGACCAATGCAGGCGGTTCGTAATAGTTTGCAGACCATATCAAACTTGTTGGAACAACTTATTGCGAGTCTGTTGGCCTCATCAACCTTGTTACACCTTGTTGCAAGGATGACGATGGCAACAGACTTACTACAAGTTTCTCCAACAAGATCAATGCAAGCGGTTCGTAATAGTTTGCAGACCATATCAGACTTGTTGGAACAACTTGTTGCGAGTCTGTTGGCCTCATCAACCTTGTTACAAGTTGATAACAACTTGTTCCAGACTTAATGTCAATAACTGGGAACCAGCTGTGCGAACACGGGTATAGTCGAATCATCTGTCTTCTTAGTGTCTAAGAAATGGAGATACAAAGTACATACAGTGACCATCTAGCACCAGCGTCGTAACCAGGCCCTCCTGTTGAACATGCAGATCCGTGATGTATCAAGTATACTCTTTTATTGGTAAGTTGTGGGACTAAAATGAAAGGATATGAAGGTCAGGGGTGGAAAAAGTATCCACGGGAGCATTGGTCCCAGAAAATGTTTTGAGTTTGTGGTTACTGGTTGGTTTCAAACTGAAGCATTCATGTACTTGTCACTTTTAGTGCTTGTTGTGATATCGTTACAAAACACTTTACCTTGTGCCGCAACAGCCGATATAACAGCGGAGACATTCTGTGAATTACAACTGCTAGGAAAACATCCTGACCATTGTATGGATGGAATATACTGAAAAGTTAAATTTATCGAAGTGGGTTACATCGAGGGTTATACAT